TAGCAACCAATAGCTATGAAATGTTGAAAACAAAATACTGTCAAAGAATGAGATGGCAGCTTGTCATTGAAACATCATCAGCTTATTGAATATTAGGAAATTACATATAATTTAGTCAAAATCTAAAAAAGTGTTCGATTTTTTAATAAAATTCATGTTTTTATTTATTATTGTCGATTGTTTATTCATGTCGAAAAAGCTAGTGTCGAATAGAAAATGTTCATCGTTTATAATTCGTTCACGCATATCTTCACAAAATTGTAATCGCCGATCGGCGGGTACTTAACGTAGGATCTACATAAACGTTCCTTATGGGATTTTCAATGTTGAGTTTTTTATTGGCGACTGACCCAGTTTCCCGAAATTTAGCTACAAGTTGTAGAACATATTTTCGATGCACGTTACTGTTTTCATGTCGCTCATTAAATATTTCTGCTGTTCTATTAGCGCACTGATTATTTCCGAAAAATATTTCGATAATTTCAACTCTTTCTGCTGTGGAATATACCATGGTAAATTAATTTAATAAAGCGTTACAAGTTATTTTAGCAACAAAGTTTGGTCAAATCAATCGCAATCTATGTACTAAATTCCTATTTAAAATAAGTACGAGATATTTCCTTATCTTTCTTCAAGAAATAACTTTTTTGCCACAAAAAAACGCTCCATTAGCTATTTTAAACAACAAAATGATAAACAAACCATGGGCGTAGTGAAGAAAAGCATTATTATGTAAATTCTTTTAGTCAAATTTCTTCTGAAAGTAGTTACAAACTAATCTGATGTACCTATTAAAGTCTACTTTAAGCTTTAAATCAATTAATCTCCAAAACTACTAACTGAAGCTCATGTATTTTACATCATTATAAAGGGAATTGAAAGACCTTTAAAATAAGGTATCACTCGACCCCCCTTTCCATTTAAGATTTTAGGGTTGGTGACACCTCCGCCCAGGGGGCGGCACGTGTTAACGTGATTTTTTGCCAAACTTGTGTCCCCCTCGAAAACAAATCGAGGGGTCCGAGCGTTTTTAAAAAAAAAACTGAGCTGCCAGTAAATGCGTCTGTTTCGTTTTCGATGCACCACCCTGTATTTTCATAAATAGGTTGAATCAGTTTGTGCTCGCTCGAGTCATTTGGATGCCGGAAGCTATTTTTTGTAAAACAGTGTTTTCTATTGTGTTCTCAAAATGAGTGACATTAATTTAGAGCAGAAACTCTTCCTAAACTTCAGCAGCTTACGAAATATTGTTCCGTCAAGAGGCCAGATTTTTCAGTAGTTTAAGGCATTTTCAGAAGGAAGAGAGTCGATTGAAGATGAACCACGAAGCGAAAGGCCTTCGTCATCAGGAACCGGTGAAAATATCGACGTAATGCGGGGTCGATTGACTATCAGACTTTATTCTGTAAATGACGCGGCGCCGCTGAGTTGAAGTTTTTGCCCCATTTGGCGACAGCCCTTCTGTAAAGTTATGTATTAGTTTTTGAGCTGGAGGGTGTTTAATAAACCGATACGCTTGATTATATAACTAATTACGGCAATTCGTGCCATTTTCGAGGTCATAAAAGGGAATCGACGAAATTTCCGGGAATAACGACCGGTTATTTATCAATTTGATCGTTTTTACTCCTCGCGACAATAGACGAGGAAGTGCAATAGGGAAAAATCGTGAAAATGAGATGTCATACAGGGGTTGTCCGGAAAGTAATAGGACTCATTTTCTTCCGTGTTTCTGTGAGTGGTGCAATCCGAAAATGCAGCGTTCGTTAGAGCAGAGGTACGCGATTAAATTCTGTGCGAAACTCGGTAAATCTGCGACAGAGACGTTTGATATGATCAAGCAGGCGCAAGGTGTGCGCGAAGATGGTCCCAAAAGTGCTCACTGACGACCAGAAATTGCGGCGAGTGGAAATGTGCCAAGAAAATTTGAACATGTGTGAAAGTGACCCCCAATTTTTAAATAACGTAATCACAGGTGACGCGTCGTGGATCTTTGAGTATGATCGCGAGACAAAGAGGCAATCTTCCAAGTGGCACACGACGGCGTCTCCTCGCCCAAAAAAGGGAAGAATGAGCAAATCCAAAGTAAAAACGATCGTTCACCATGAATTTGTTCCTCCTGGACAAACCGTCAACGCCAAGTTTTACGTGGAAGTGCTCAGGAGACTCAAACGAAGGGTCAGTCGGGTCCGACAAGACATCGCAGCCGACTGGAAGTTGCACCACGACAACGCCCCGGCTCACACCGCCTTTCTTGTGAACAGCTACCTGACCAAGGCCGGCATCCCAACGCTTCCGCAGCCGCCCTACAGCCCAGATGTGCCTCCCCCCCCCGGACTTTTTTTTGTTTCCTCGCCTGAAAAGGCCGATGAAAGGCAAGCATTTTGAGACGACAGAGTTGATCCAAGCAACATGCACCGCGGCTCTCAATGCCTTCCGTGACGCCTTCAATGCTGGGAAATCGCGCTGGCAGCGCTGCATCGACGCAGAAGGAGCCTATTTTGAAAGTTTTTTAAAGAATTGTATGCCAAGTACGCAAAGGCTTTGTAAGTTTTGAAAATCGTTCCAGCAGGGTGGGACTCGGAAATATTATTGAGGGGAGTCTAACCCTTAAAAAGTGCTGGGGAGGGGGCTCAGGAGTCTTCTCCAGGAAGATGTTCGTCTTGCGGGGAGAATCGACAATTAAAAATTGATTATTTGAGGAATGGAGGTGGGGTCGTCTACAAATTAAAAAATGCTCGCCCCGCTTTTTGCCGTTTCAGAGACTCCTGTTCATTTCAACAAAATTGTTTGAGTGGGTTGAAGATCGGGGTATTGAGGGTTGTTAATGTTTGTTGCATCATGGTATCAGTAAATACGTTTAATAATAAAAAATACTCATCATCGTACCTTCGAAACACTTAACTGTTGTTAGACAAGCCAGCATTCAGCAAGAGATTGCGAAGGTATATCAGTAAAATAACACGATTCGGTTTTCAGCAGTTAACCTTCCACATCGACTGAGTTTTCCTCAACCTTTTTTTATGTTAATTAACAGAAAACTCTCAGTAAGATAATTAATACAGATGGAAGCAGCATTCTGTCTATGAATGGTGAGACGTAACTTTATCATAGCAGTACTTGTTCACCACCACCAACAAAGTTAGGGTCCTTCTCGTCTGTGCCTATCATAATTAAGTCTGCCACTCACTAATTATGTTATTTCTCTTGTAATAAATCTTGTCGGTCGGAAATCCGTCCTGAGCTTATTAGACTAATGGACTCCTTCTATTTACCGTGAGATTCCAGTTTGTTTGATTAACATTACCTGAAGAACAGTTTTACTTCAAAGCTATTCGTTTTAGTCGCTGGTAGGCTGATCGTTCTGAAAAAACTGCATGATGAAAGAAAAATACAGAGTAATAACGTGCCAAAATCATATAACTTTTTTTCACTGTTTTGATCACTTACTAGTAATTTGAATTTCTCTTTATTAATGATAGAGTACCCATTCATAGAACAAACTCTTTTCTATGATTTTTTTTGGTAAATTTCATAATTTACTGAAGCTCGCAGCTACCTGATACTGAAAGTATAATTTCACACATATACAGATCCACACCCTTAAATATTCGCATGTGAACATCCTGTATATTTCTTTCTTAGCGACTGAGTAATGTATTGGGATCCTTTGGACCCAAATGCCAGACAGACTCGCCTAACTCTCAGTTGCCATCCTAACCATGCCGAACTTCGTACATCCAGAAGAGATCGCTCCTTTGTCTCTAGGATGTAACCCTAGGCAGTTCAAAATTTCAATGTTTATTTGAGATCCTTTTAGGCTTCTGACTGCGCGACTGCTTCGGTGTAAAAAAAGGCAGGGGCCATTTAAATTTCATCGGGTTGACAGTCTTATCATACGCTATACGAGTATAATCACGATGGTTCTGGCACCTATATCTCTAAGGCCCGGTTTTTCAATCTCAAGTTAACTTTTTGGTTAGTTAACTATCGCCAGGAAGTTAACTTGTAGTTACTTGCAAATGCGTTTTTCAAGTATTTTGACAGCGTCAGTTAACTTACCAGAAGTTCAACATATATTTATGTTACAGCCGTGTATCTGCGGTTCTTAGATATCGTGTTCTATGCGTTTTGTGCGCTCGACATCTGTGTCCCGTGTCATACTTGACAGTTCGATTGAATTAAAATTTCTTAAAATAGCCAAAATCGAAATCCGAAAATTTCATTAAAAACGAATAAAACATAAAATCTTCGTCAAGCAAGGTAAGTTTTTTCAAACATTGCTCGTACAAATGTTTAGTAGTAGACCCTATAGACGGCATTATATAGATGGTGATAAAAAAGGTTGCAAATGCAATGTCTAATGAACCATACTAAGGTCAAAAAACGATTAAGTTGTAAATATCTGCTGAATATCGTATTTTCCACCTTTTTTAACATCACTCCTATAATCTACAATCCAAAAATAAAGGGGATACACAATAGCTCTATTCTTGTTGCTAAAATTTCTCAAAAACTGTTTTCTAGCATGGAGAAAGAGATCAAAAAGAGAGCTCAAAATTTCTCGAAGAATGAGGAAATGATGTTAACATCATTGGTGAGCAAAAAATAAAGATATACCTAATAGAGAGCAAGACAAGTGGCACAGTTACGTGGAAACAGAAAAGTTCAGTATGGCAGAGCATCGAACAAGATTTCCAAGCCCTAACAGGGTGCTACCGAGAGGCAAAAACTCTACGAGATAAATATTTCAATTTAAAGAAAAAACAAAAAACCAATTTGCTACAAACAAAAGCAATATAATCAAGACAGGGGGAGGTTCATGCCAATTGCAAGCATTCGATCTGATTGATACACAATTACAAGAAATAATGGGACCATAATTAGAAGGTTCGACAAACAATTATGATGATGACTGTAGTGACCAAGAAGAGGTGGTTACTGAAAATGGTAAGTCTCATTGCTGTTTATTGAAGCATTTTTTCAATTCATCTTTTTAGTTCCTGATGCAAATAACTGTGATGACAGTGAAGTGGTCTTTAATAATGGGAAATGGAGCTCCTATACTCCCCAACAACTGAAGAGGCCCAAAACTACAAAGCTATCATGTACGAAAACGGTACAAAATAAAAGATATATTTCTGTTAACTATCTACTAATGAAAGGAAGGCTGAAGTTTTTGAAACTACGAGAAGAAAAATGCATCGAAGAACTCAATAAAAAAATGGAAATATATAAAAAAAGGTTCAGCTGTTAGATTTACAGATCAATGCATTGGATAAGTAGAAAACGAAGGATTTATTTTGTTAATTTCTGGAATATTTTCACTTTCACTCATTTTTTTTTTGTATTTCGCATTTTTGAGGATAATATGTTAGTCTAATAATAAACTGTTTTCAGAAAATCATGTTTATTTTCATTCTGTAGTTACAATAAATACGGGATAATTCATATGTCAAGTAGATGTGAGCTATGGCGAAAACTTTAGGTGTCCAAAAAGATCGACTGAGTGCCCATTTTGAGGCTTGCGACATCTATTTTCAAATGCCGTGTGCCCATTTTTGGGCAACAACAATTTTGGCCACGACTCTTATCCACTTGCCATGGATTGTCACAGATCTTATACTAAACAACTTTCATCTATTGGGTTGTCGGAAAAGTCATGACGTATATGCAACAAAGTATGCAATTGCATGGTTGGAAGTACGTGAGTCAATGACATTTGTATGTTGATTGTGTAGTTTGACAGTTGACACTTCAAGCTTCATTTGCACCAAAAAATTAAGTGATTTATTTGAGTCTAGTCGATTTTAGGGGACGTTGAAGATGGACGACCAAACTGTGCATTTTCGTCACATTTTGCTGTATTACTTCCGCAAAGGCAAGAACGCAAGACAAGCGTGTGAAAAGTTGAGAAAGGTTTATGGAGAACATGCACTACAAGAACGGCAATGCCAGAGATGGTTTAAAAAATTCCGAGATGGGGATTTTGATATCCATGACGCATCTCGATCAGGGCGGCCTACTGAGTTGGATAGTGACGAATTAAAGGCATTGGTAGGAGCAAACCCACATTACACCACACGGGAAATTGCAGAAACCTTAAAAATCCATCATTCAACCGTTCACGACCATTTGAAGAAACTGGGATACGTAAGCAAACTCGATCGTTGGGTACCACACGAACTGAGAGAGGTTCATTTGACAGCGCGTGTAGACATCTGCGATATACTCCTTAAACGTGAGGAAAACGATCCTTTCTTAAAGCGCTTGATAACGGGAGATGAAAAGTGGAGTGTTTACAACAATGTGGTTCGCAAACGGTCTTGGTCCCGAAGTGTAGATGCGCGTAACACGATCGCGAAAGCAGAGAGTCATCAGGAAAAGGTGATGCTCTCTGTTTGGTGGGATTTTAAAGGGATCGTGTTTTTCGAACTCCTGCCAAAGAACCAAACCATCGATACAACTGTGTATTGTCGGCAATTGGACAGTTTGCAACAATCCATCATGCAAAAACGTCCGGAGCTCATTAATCGCAAAGGAGTTGTGTTCCACCATGACAACGCGAGACCGCACACAAGTTTGCTCACTCGTCAAAAGTTATTGGAGTTAGGATGGGATGTGTTACCACATCCAGCATACTCGCCTGATCTTGCCCCATCTGATTTTCATTTGTTTCGGTCGCTTCAAAATTCCTTGCGAGAAATACGGTTTACTTCGGATGAAGCTGTACATCAGCACCTTGTTCAATTTTTTGCCGGTAAAGACAAATCCTTCTACGAGCGAGGAATTATGAAGCTGCCTGAAAGATGGCGAAAGGTCATCGATCAAAATGGGCAATACATTATTGATTGAAGTTTGTGCTGTATATGAATAAAATGGCCTTAAAATAAACAAAAAAAAGCGTCATGACTTTTCCGACAATAGTATCAAGTCATTCACTGAGCATCAGTCACTGTATTGAATCGATTTACAAATTTGCAAAATAATTATTAATAAGGTAAGTTCTAACACTGTTGATTGCATTTTGTGGCAACCTAATATTTACAGCATCTGTGTTCACATTATCTACATGAACGAGGTTAATAGCATTTTCCTGTTCAGGACAAATAGGGGGCATAGCTTCATTATTAGGACAAGCAGTATTATGTAGCACTGCTGTTCCTAGAGTAACTGCTTGAGCTGTATCTAGATTAACTCTGAGACCCATAGCTAGACATGGAAATCTTCTTTTCCAAACTCCATAGCTTCTCTCTATAACATTGCGACTACGAATGATAGTATTTAATGGTGTCATCAAATGGCGTTTAATAGGATAACCTTTGTCACCAGCCAACAAAAAGTTTCCAAAGTGACCTAATTCAAATTGTCTGCAGAGCTGAGAATTTCCGAAAATGTATGAATCTGCGTCAGAAACAATTCAGTGAAAAAAACTGCTTTCGATTTCTGAAGAGCTTCCGCATGGCTTCCGCCGGGAGAAACAATTTTTATATGCGTGCAGTCAATTGCTCCTATGCATCGTGGAAACCTAGCTATGTTACTGCTTTGCCCTAGCAAGAGCCTCAAGAGTGTCGGCATTTTTATGTAATTACTTCTTTTACTTGTTAGTACTTTAAGAATCTTCGGACTGTTTTGGATGCAGTTGATTTGGAAACCCCAGCAAAATGTCCAGCAACAGTTAAAAAACTTTTTCGCAGAGCTAACAACAGCTGTTGTGGGGCATTAAGCAGTTATTCCTGGAATGACAATGTCATGTAAAAATATGGAAATAAACAACAATATATACATCTGCCTGCTTGTAGGACAAACTAAATCTTCATAGACTTCGTCCAGGAGAGTTTCTACAGTCCTTTTTGTAAGACGAAATCTTGCAAGGAAATCGAGGTCATCAAATTCGACCGATGGCGGATTATTTTTGGCCTTCTCGCGTCTTCGTCTCTGCTATATACGCATTCACGTCGTAATCCATAAACATGTTTATAGCTTAAATTAATCGATAGATTGATATGGATTTGTTGTGATTTTTTGAATAAACGTCAAAGTTTATGTCAAAAAACGTCAGGTGTTGCTATTTAACTACAGCCTTTATAGTTAACTCATAGATGGTCTTCTGGTTAAAGTTAACTTCCGTTTTACTATAAACAGGATATTGAAAAACGCTTTTTCATAAATAACTATAAGTTAAGACCAAGGCCGTAGTTAACCTGCGATTGAAAAACCGGGCCTAAAAGTCATTATAAATACCAACTCTGAACAAGGCTCATCGTTGATGCAGGCCTAGAAGATGAAAGTCTACACATCTAGTTAGCTGAATCTATTTATCGCTTAGTGGAATTTCCTGACTTGCCTTCGCTCTGTGCCGTTAAACTTCCGAAACTCCACTTTGCCGTTTCCTAAATTATTTAGCAAGTTTGCTGAGGAAGTTTCTCAGAGAAAAGGGTGTTGGAACATCCACTTCGCAAAATGTATCAGGTACATATGTAATCCTATTTTCTCGCTGTCCTTACCGAAAGCGTGACAGGTTTACACCGGTATCTCTCAAGCCATTGAGGAACTGCTTTAGGGCCGTATTGTCAGGCGTTCCTACAATTGTAACACGTCTTTATGGCCTCCTTGATTTTCATAGCTTTTCCTGTCGCTAGAGGGGCAGGCAAAGTGAACGCTTTACGACAAGGTAAGCAAATCTATATTCTCACTTGGAAATACCTTTATGTCAAATACAGGTTTCTGAATTCTATACACTCAAATAAACAAGTTTCCTATAATATTGCTCACAATGTTGATTAAAAAAAGGAAAAAGTGGAGAACTCCTGAAAATTGAAACACAAACGTGAAGTCGATAACAAATCCTACGAAGCTGTAAAAACTGTTTGGTATGTAAGGTGCACACTTGAGAGGGCGCCACAGTCGAAGAATGACGTACTGCGCGTGAGGGATTGCAGTTTCGTGCTGGGAATTTGAATACGAATATGTGGCAAAGATGGAAAATTTCTTTTAGAAAGTTTTGATAAAACTGATCAGACGCTTGAGGTGTACCATAAACCCTAGTATTCTAGACGTCTCGTTCGTTCCTTCTAAATTTACAACCAGTATATTAAACTGACAGTGGACCTCCAATTAACAGTCTTATTGTCATTTATTATTTATAGGGTAGCAAGCATATCCAAAAATAACAAAACAGATCCAATAAGCGTGGATTCTAGAACGTCCCATTATCAGGATACAGGGATACCGATTTCTACGCTACTGACGAGACTGAATAAGGGCAAAACACGATCATTGTTGAAACGTTATTACGAGGTAGAATTTAAGTCTCTCTAGGCGTCCAAATTGAACAGCTTCTATATATACTAAGTGACATATAAATCCGTGAAAGTGACAAAGAAATCCGAACACCCAGTTTAAATGGTTTTATTTTAATAAAATTTTGTATAAGTACTTAATGAAGCATAATAAGTAAATGATAAAAATTTTAAAATGATTGCACTGCTTTAAAGCCCTTTGACCTTTAATAATGTGTGGATGCACCCTGATGTGCTACGCATCCTCCAACGCGCCTAGGCATGCTTCTGATCAGGTGGAGAATGTCCTACTGTGGTATCTCATTCCAGGCAACCACCAACTCCTCTCGAAGTGCTTCTAGAGTCTGAGGAGGACGTTGCAAATTGAGCAATCTCCTACCCATCATATCCCACATGTGCTCAATTGGGGATAAGTCGGGAGATCTTGGTGGCCATGGTAACAATGTGACATCATTATGTTGAAAGAAGTCTATTGTGACTCTTGCAACATGTGGTCGGGCATTATCTTGTTGGAAAGTTGGATCTCTTAAAGGTGACCTGGAACCATAAGCTATAGCACCCCAAACCATAACTCCAACAGTGTGATGAACATGTCTTTCAACAAAAAACTGTGGATTCCTTCTTTCACCACGTCGCCTTCTAACCCTGGCACGACCATCGTGCATGCCTAAACAAAATCGAGTCTCCTCACTAAAGACAATACTGTTCCATTCCTGATCCCAGAGTGACCGTTGTCTGCACCACTCAAGGCGATTACGTCGGTGTTCTCGAGTTAAAGGGAGGACCCAGTGTGGCCGGTATGAAAACAAGCCAAAACTTCTCATTCGTCGGTAAACACTTCGCATGCCAAATAGGTCTTTCGTGTTCTGCAAACCATTCATTTGCAATGGACCTGGTAGTGGAGAAACGGTCCCTTAAGGCCAATAATCTTAGGCGGCGATCTTCACGGTATGTTGTTCTACGGCGGCGTCCAGTGCCCCTTGCTCTTTGCGTACGGCCTTGTCGAAGCCATGCCTGACAACACCTAACCACAGTGTCTACACTTCTTTGCACTCGAACTGTAATTGCCCGAAAAGAAAGTCCAGCTTCCCGAAGTCCCACTATACGGCCCCTATCAAACTCACTAAGTTGACGAAATCGTACAGGTCTCCGTACTCTAGGCATCGTAACCCATCGTAAAGGATGTCAAGAACCAAAATCCGCCAACGTTGATTCTTTACTGCGACTGAAATATTCATTTTTAGAGCGTTAGTGAATTAAAAAAAGCAGTATAAAAACCGGAATGTCCAACTGATAAGGCTGAAAATTTTTTCACTTTTTATTTACAGTAATATAAATACATTCACCAACTTTTATTAAAATAAAACCATTTAAACTGGGTGTTCGGATTTATATGACACTTAGTATATATATAGCCTAATATAAGGTATCTCTAATCACTTTCTATTCGCGTCACGCCGTCTCGTGGGCACTTACCACGGTACCACCGTGCGAAGACACAGGTTAGGTAATGTCTATGGAATAGAAATGATGAAGGCTGGAATCCTGCTAGCGCCCATGTCCTCGCACGGTGCCCACTATACGACTAGGTGCAGCTAGCAAGCTTTTGGAGAGAGATGGATGTATGAAAATCATTCTTGTAGTTTTACTGTGAGCAACTAACAATTGTGAAAAGAGTTATATTAAAGGTAACGATCCTGTGCATTTTTGATCAGCATCACTTCAAATCGCTTCCTTATTTTAACGGTTCCTTTTAATTTCCTGAGCTTAATCAGCGGCAAGGATTTTGTTCCTCCCCAGCGACGTCGCCAGATAATTATGTCTAGAAAATCTAATGAAAGGTAGCCAGCTTAACCTTAATAAGAGAGGAACAGACCAGACCGGGCGTAATGTAAGAGGGCGGATTTTAAATGAAATTCTTACTTTATCAAAGTGAGAACACCTCCCGAGAATTTAGAACGACCACGTCCAAAAAAAATAATCTCTCGGATAATACGATGGCCCCCTCGAATACTCCTAATTAATTTAGTTTCCTTGTGACATTCAGAAATTGTATTTCCCATCTTGCATGATCAAAGTCGGGGTGCTGAGTTTCATAAAAACTTCATTAAGCTTCCGTTGTGTACCAAGGGCGACTTTGCACCCCCACGCAGTGACATTGAAAACGTGATTAGATGCTGTATTCGATTTTACCTTCCACTTACGGCGTCGAAGGTAGACCAAGAAAATAGGTCGCTCAAAAGAACGGAGGATTCAGCAAGGGAAAGTCTACCATAGACGGACTTCGTACAGCCATACAGGTAGCAGATGAGTCAGATAGTGGCAGCTACTACAGAAAAGAAAAAAATGGCGTTAAGTAGATTGGCTCTATACTACCTACGCCTTCGTTGGAGGTTTCAAGGCGGAATCGACTCGTGACTAGGTAGGTTCACTTAGGTGCGATGAATCTTCAACCACTATGAAAATATTCTTTTTCTGTTTCCATGGAAAATGTAGGAAAACGTTACGTGCATAATATTACCGACAGAAAATCTTTGGGTCTGTCCTAACCACGTATTGAGCATGAAAGTTATTGTAATGAGAAGACTCTTATAGAGGTACAACGGACGATAGATGTAACCATGGAAGTGCCACAGGGTTCCGCAATGGGGCCGTCGCTTTGGAACGATGGGGTCCTTCGTTTGCTGGCACCTCCGGAAATTCGCGATGATAGTTATCGGCAAAGCAAAGGTACCCTAGAAAGGCTTTTGGCATATGGAATTACCACATGAGTGGAAGAAAATGGCTTGAAATTAGCTCATGAGAAGACGGAAGAGGTTATACGTTCTGGCAAACCGAAACTAACTTCACTAGCTGTTAAGGTTGGGAGCACCGAATTCAAGGCCAAAATGCGATTAAGTACTTGGGTGTGTGGGTTCAAAATAACTGAACACACGGCGTACCACTGATAAGATGAATAAAGTCGTTGCATCGCTGGTATGACCAGTGCCATCTAATGGAGGTCTAAGTAGGTTTAGGCATGGGTTTTGGCAGGAGTGGTTGTCTTGATTATAATGAAGTCCCTGGTAACAACAAGGCTTTGAGAAAAAAGAAGAGATATAAGCAGCTAAAGCTCAGGAATCAGCAAGAAGTAGTGCTGTATAGAACAGTGGTGACAGATGAAATGAACTGCCTGTGGTGGCTGGTATTCTGCCAAGTGATTCACTAACGAAGGAGAGATGCTCGTTTTCTAAAAAGGAGACAGAGGATCGGAGCGATTAAAGCTGGTCTTTTTTGTTGGATGGCAGGATGGGATGTAACTGGTATATGGACTATAAGGTTGATCCCGGATAATAAAACTTGGATTTACAAGAGACAAACATTGGAGAGATTGATTTTATTGCCCCGTAGCTATATACAGGGTGTTACTTAAGCACATGGCCAAGCTTCAGGAAGCGATTCTTTGATTAATTTAAGGCGAAAGGTACATACAAAACATAGATCCAGAAATGCTTCGTGTTCAAGATATAGAGTGTCAAACTTTAAAAAAAATCGACTTTTCCTAAATATCTTAATATTAATTTTGTTTAAATTTAGCATTGGAATTAAGGGCAGTAAGGGGTTAATTTATTCCCAATTAGATTGAAACAATTAAGTCTAGCTGGGCCCGAAAAACACCCTATCCAATATATTTGACAAAAAATTTGTGCACCATTGACCTTTAGATTTTTCAATATTTTCATTTATAAGATATAAGAAATACAAATTTATTTCATATCTCGCTTTGTTTGCGAGACATAAGATACTTACATAACGTTATTTATTGTTGCCATGTTTTGCTAGAGGCATTGCACATTAGTAACGCTGGAAATTAAAAAAAAAATCGTACCGAAAAAAGGTCTACTTGAAACTACACCTAAGCTTTTATTTCAATGAAAACATATAACAGTAAATAACACGACACTTATAATGGTTGCAGAAAATGCCCTCCTTCAACCTCAATGCAAGCTTTAGCTCATTCATTATCGAACTCGTTGAAATATTCCAGGTGTATGTCTTATCTGATCACATGAATCTCGTATCCGTTGGGTTAACTCGCCTTCAGTGTTGACTGGAGTTTTGTAAACGAGGGACTTTAAATGCCCCAAGAGAAAAAATCTAACGGATTCAAATCCAGTGACTTGGATGGCCATGACTGTGGACCTGCGTGCCCGATCCAGTTTTCTCCAAAAGTTGCATCTAGAAATTGACGAGCTACTAGGCTGAAGTAAGGAGCAGCCTATTTTTGATAGAAAGCATAATAAGGTAATTGGCCTGAGATCCGAATATTGTTCTGGATGATTAGTTTTAGCTATTGGAATAATAATACGATTTTACCAACTGGCAGGAAAGTAACCTGTTTCGAGACATTAATAATGTGAGTGATATGATCTATGGTATCAGGCAAACAAAATCATGCCATATTTAAAGTTAGACGATGTCTTGCTGAGTAAGGAGTTTAAAAGCAAACAGAGGTGCATCCGGTGTATGGCGTCTATTGCTATAAGAGTTAGAGACACTATCAATCAAATTTGGATCAGCTGCAGCTATCTGGAAAATTGAAAGAAAATAATTATTTAAAATGTTAGGCTGAAGGAGACTGAGAGGTATCGCAACATGTTAATATAAACGATAGTAATCTAATGATATTTCATAAATTTGAATGAGAAAAGTTTCACGAAAGAAGAATTAAATAAATACTACAAAGCATGATAAACCTAATTCATAGCCAGGGACTAAGTAACTACGACATCAACTAACTGTTCGGCAAGTAACTCAATTTTTTTTTGAAGTTGATAAGTGACGGTTCTTTAACATCATCTTGCAAGGAGTTGTACAGCGGCACTAAAGGAAAAGGCAAAGGTTGCCGAGGTGTGACGATGAATAAGTAGGGTATGCCTACATCGCTGTAGCCTGCGATTCAAAAGCGGGCGTAGCTTGTTCAGCAAATATACAGGGGCCTTGTTAACAATGACCTTGTGAACAGGTGTCGCTAGGTGTAATTTTCTCAAGGCATCTAATTTCAACCATCTACACTCTTTAAACTTGGGACTGATATGGTCGAACTTCCGAACACCAAGTATGACAATCTAGATATTAACAAGGACTCGCAAAGTTTAAGTTCAGCATCCAAAGAAGTAGGTGACGACTAGGGAAAAGTTGTTTCAAATAAGCATATGATACTTGACATAAGTAAGTTACCTGTGAAGTAAATCTTAATTCGTTATCACTATACAATCATTTGCAACACATATACTAAGTGACATATAAATCCGAACACCCAGTTTTAATGGTTTTGTTTTAATAAAAGTTAGTGAATGTATTTATCTTACTGTAAATAACAAGTGAAAAAATTTTCAGCCTTATCAGTTGGACATTCCGGTTTTTATACTGCTTTTTTTTAATTCACTAACGCTCTAAAAATGAATATTTCAGCCGCAGTAAAGAATCAACGTTGGCGGATTTTGGTTCTTGACATCCTTTACGATCGGTTACGATGCCTAGAGTACGGAGACCTGTACGATTTCGTCAACTTAGTGAGTTTGATAGGGGCCGTATAGTGGGACTTCGGGAAGCTGGACTTTCTTTTCGGGCAATTGCAGTTAGAGTGCAAAGAAGTATAGACACTGTGGTTAGGTGTTGTCAGGCATGGCTTCGAGAAGGCCGTACGCAAAGAGCAAGGGGCACTGGACGCCGCCGTAGAACAACAGACCGTGAATACTGGCCTTAAGGGACCGTTTCTCCACTACCAGGTCCATTGCAAATGAATGGTTAGCAGAACACGCAAGACCTATTGGCATGCGAAGTGTTTACCGACGAATGAGAAGTTTTGGCTCGTTTTCATACCGGCCACACTGGGTCCTTCCCTTTAACTCGAGAACACCGACGTAATCACCTTGAGTGGTGCAGACAACGGTCACTCTGGGATCAGGAATGGAACAGTATTGTCTTTAGTGACGAGTCTCGAGTTTGTTTAGGCATGCACGATGGTCGTGTCAGGGTTAGAAGGCGACGTGGTGAAAGTAGGAATCCACAGTTTTTTGTTGAAAGACATGTTCATCACACTGTTGGAGTTATGGTTTGGGGTGCTATAGCTTATGGTTCCAGGTCACCTTAAATCTTCATGAAAGGTTACATGAACGCGCAGCGTGATATCCACGAAGTTCTAGAACCCCATCTTTTACCCTATCTTGACACCCTGGCAGATCCAACTTTCCAACAAGATAATGCCCGACCACATGTTGCAAGAGTCACAATAGACTTCTTTCAACATAATGATGTCACATTGTTACCATGGCCACCAAGATCTCCCGACTTATCCCCAATTGAGCACGTGTGAGATATGATGGGTAGGAGATTGCTCAATTTGCAACGTCCTCCTCAGACTCTAGAAGCACTACGAGAAGAGTTGGTGGTTGCCTGGAATGAGATACCACAGGAGGACATTGACCACCTGATCAGAAGCATGCCTAGGCGCGTTGGAGAATGCGTAGCACATCAGGGTGCATCCATACATTATTAAAGGTCAAAGGGCTTTAAAGCAGTGCAATCATTTTGAAATTTTTATCATTTACTTATTATGCTTCATTAAGTACTTATACAAAATTTTATTAAAATAAAACCATTTAAACTGGGTGTTCGGATTTATATGTCACTTAGTATATCTATTTGCCTTGTATTCTAATATAAATACAGTCTTTAGCTATATTTCTCTTGACCTTGCTGCCAAAAAAACATGACAATCGATTTTTTGTGATTGAGTTTCAAATTGTGTACAGCAGAGATTTCATATAAGGCATTTAAATCACTATTTATTCTATTGTCAGCCAGGTATTGGAAAACTTATATAGATCTGGGTGTCATCCGCCTAATAATAGATTGAACAAAAATCAGATATGTATATAGCAAAGAGAAGGGGTCCTACAATGGAGCCCTGCGGAACTCCATGTTTTTTAAATTTCGGGAAAAACACGTACACAAGTACAAAAACGATGCGTTGGGGAAAATCGACAGGTAATAGGGCCTGTATACTGAGGTAAGAGAATCGGAAATCGACAAGACGATGGTATTATTCAGCCGGTGTATCACTGATCTGAATCAATTTTTCATCTTCCGAGTATATTGCACGACTATATCTTGGATTCCAGCAATATTCAGCGTCCCACATATACGTGGAGCAGAACAGAGCGTGAGTGCATCCATGACGAACGTTGACACATGAAAAAGTTTCATGATATATGCGAATCATAAACTGGCCGGCTGAGCGTGTGGCTGCCGTTTCATAGTTTTAAAATTGCTCGCGAAATATAGCGTCAATTGAATGATATATTTCGTGGTCGTTGAAACTGTCATTTGATGTTATGCATAACGCTGATGAAAAATAGAGTCACATCCTGCTTTTCCGGGGAAATATATACGACCTGCAATTTGGTTTGATAATAGGTGTCAACCGTGGTGCCGTGTTTTCCAACGATTTCTTCACGTGGTGATATGGTTGAAGAACCTACTGCAGATTTCAGTTAAAGTCTACAGGATGGCGCAACGACAAGGTTGCATCCCCCCTCCTGGTATATTTTGGGACACATCAAATTTGATTGATTATTGATTTTCATCTATAGCCGTACAATACAGGGTGATCAAAATATATGGTGTTGCGTTATAGTTTTAGATTTAGATATTCCATGACATTTGTAGTAACTATGGTATAATAAAGTTTATACGGAACTTCAATCGTTGTGAAGCTATTTGAGGTTATAAAAAAATTCGACTAACCTAACACTGATAATAATAAAATGCAGGCCAAATAATAATAATCATTGATACCATACCGCAAAAGGTATTTTACGATTATCGCCTCTTAACCAACGTCACACAAGCCTTACAACATATATGAGGGGCCCATAGTTTATCTTGGCCGTCAACTTTAATTCCAAAATAAAGTTCGTATGCTTCCAACACAAGGTGAGTAAAGGTACGTTTTTGGGATTTAAAAGTTAGCTCTCCGCACACATAACAAAAACTGTTAGCACTATTTACACAATTTCTAGGCATTGTCCATAAAGCTAGCCCGCTCACAATAAACTAAAAACAACACACAGTTTTAACAAAAATTTATAGTACTCAGAACATCTTAGTACCCTTCAACACAGAAAACGTAACTGATTCGGCTGCTGTTAGTCTACTAATAAACGCAATATGCTCTCTAAATAGGAATAGACGGGTCCTAACATTATATACGTGCGTCATCGCATAAACGCCGAGAAATGCAGCAATATGAGATGTTACGTATTGTATACTAAGTGACATATAAATCCGAACACCCAGTTTAAATGGTTTTATTTTAATAAAATTTTGTATAAGTGCTTAATGAAGCATAATAAGTAAATGATAAAAATTTCAAAATGATTGCACTGCTTTAAAGCCCTTTGACCTTTAATAATGTGTGGATGCACCCTGATGTGCTACGCATTCTCCAACACGCCTATGCATGCTTCTGATCAGGTGGTCAATGTCCTCCTGTGGTATCTCATTCCAGGCAACCACCAACTCCTCTCGAAGTGCTTCTAGAGTCTGAGGAGGACGTTGCAAATTGAGCAATCTCCTACCCATCATATCCCACACGTGCTCAATTGTGGATAAGTCGGGAGATCTTGGTGGGCATGGTAACAATGTGACATCATTATGTTGAAAGAAGTCTATTGTGACTCTTGCAACATGTGGTCGGGCATTATCTTGTTGGAAAGTTGGATCTGCCAATTCATAAAAGTAGATGTTACAGAATATCTGTGGGTAATAGAAAAATTCTGTTGTTAGATTTGATTTAAGGGTCTCAAAATACATAAAATACACCCAAAATTTGTCATCTCGCAAATCCTGTGTTTATCAGTGTAATTTTAACTTAAGGTGAGTGTCTTCAGAATGCTACCGATACTTCGCGAGTGTATGCAGTTCGCTTTCACAGACAATCCGTTTTGCGAGTGAGATAGATATGCAAAGTTATTTCCTGGCATAAAAAGTGCTATTCCAGACTATAGTGTGCCAAATTTCATCCAGATCCGTTCAGTCGTTTTGGCGTGATTGCGAAACAAACATCGACAGCTCTCATTTATAACACCAGTAGATATTCCATTCCAAGTTTACGGAATTCTTTATGTTGCATGGACCCGTAACTTGTACGGATGCACAGGTCGTACAGTATCCCGACTGCAAAGTGTGAGTAATTAGAGTTTTCGTATTGCACATAAGCCTCCGGTGTCGGGGAAATTGCTGTTGACAAAGCTGCTCGTTGGAGAAACGGTAGTGCGATAAAACGAAACGGCAGAGGCAACGGCCGAGTTAGCGCAATATCCCGAAAGTTCCCGGCCGTCTTAATGAGCGCCGTGTGAACAAGGAGAATAAACAATATCGGCAGTGATTGTGGCAATACGGTTGCCGTGCTGCTCCGGGACAGGCAACCTCGTAAAACTATTCGAGACCTCGTAAAATTATTAATATGGGACGGTCGTTCGCAACCTCTCCGACGTGATATATCCCTGTGTGTAGCCTATTTTCTCACCTGTTAGTTGTTCGCCCGTTCTCTTCCAGCTATAACACACAAACCAGGAAGCTAATTTCTGGATAGAGGCTTCTTTTTTATTCCCTGTTGTTGCAGTCGAATTAATTCAGCAACGGTGGCCGCAGTAGTAGACTCTTCGGTCTCCTGATCAGTCGCCGTGCGCTGTGCGGGTTCGAATCCCGTTCCAAGAGAAATTTTTCTCTTGGCTATGGATGTTGTGATTGTCCGTAGGTGGTAGACGGTCTCTGACTGTCGAACGCACAGGTACCACCTGGCGGATCTGGTAGGCGGGGCCAGAATGTGTGCATGTTCCCTCTCCAGAGTCCGTGTGGCGTTCCCCCTTTCCCCTGTATCCCCCTATAGCCCCACGGTACCCCATGGGTATTTAGGCTTTAGGCCTACGTGGTAGTTGGAGTATAAAAAAAGTAAATGGGATCCTTGGTCCTCAAATAAAATTTGCGAAAACACCTATGACATGGCACCAATTTTCAGAAGTTTAATTAATTTGAAACTTGGCACACGTATCAAGGACCAATCACAAAGCAATAATTTGGTAACAGTTTTCCATTATCCTTATTTGAACCGCCAGGATTGATTCTTTTATAGATCCTCTGTAGGGAGTAAGAGAGATAGAGCTAGCGCGCGATCTCCGCATGCGTGCAGTTTCGGATTTACTCTTTGTTGGATTGGTACTCGGCACAGCACAACATAGGCAGATACTTTTTCAAGGTAGTGCATTCTCACCTTGTTCATTGCGAATGCTGCCATTGATCCTGAGTTGGGCTTCGATCGTCAACAAGGTGCAAGGTTGTACAGTCGATTATGCAGTCATTTATCTAGCCTCGCGACTGTTTGCTGCTAATCAAGCTTATGCAGCACGTAGGGACAATTTCACCAACAACAGTACATTATTCTCCACCTATAGGGTAACAGACCATCAAATACAACGAATGAGCTTCAAGTTCCAATCAACAAATTTTAGCAACCAATAGCTATGAAATGTTGAAAACAAAATACTGTCAAAGTAGGAGATGACAGCTTGTCATTGAAACATCACCAGCTTTTTTGATTTTTGAATTTGTGTTGTGTTGTGTTTTAATTACTATTGTTGATATTTTATTGATGTTTATATTATTTTATTCAATTGATATGCGATACTGGGTGTTTTTTCCTATAAACCTCTTGCAGATAGCCATTAAGCACCTACTTGATGACAGGCTCTACCAAAAGATATTGCTCATTTCCAAACATTCATTCATTTACTTGCCGTTCATCAGAACCATTATGGCACCTTAGATTGATATACCCACAAAACCATTCAGGTTTTTTGATATCCATACATCCATAAAGTTGAAAATATTTCGTTGTTCAGAAACTGAACAAACATCCACACTATATTCACAGCGATCAAGAAATTCCCAAATATATGCCTTAAAGCTACCAACAAACCTAAAACCTGCAAAAAAACTACAAATTTGCCATATTTTTTTTTCACGAGTACACATTCTAGGTTATATTTATATTAGACATTATTTGAATACAGCTGATTATTGCATTTCAAGCACTGACACATGTGTGGGATCTGTCAACTCTTGGTACCAATCACAAAACATATACTCTGAAGGTTTAATTCCATGCTATTCAATGACAACACGGTGACTTGTGTGGTTGTAATCGACCATTTTGTGAGGGTACGACAGGGTTGCCAGATTGTGCATTAATATCCAGTTTCACCCTCCTGGTTCCAGTAGTTCCGCCAACTGTTGAAATATACTCTACTATGCTTTATAAGATTATTCGTGACATTTTTCCCAAAATCATTGCACAACACTTGAAAAAATGCAAATGAAAATTTAAAATTATTGCCATGACGCCGCAAAATAGCTCCGTCTTTACCTCGGGTTATACATCTTGACAGTAGTGATGTTCGATACAATCCTATATTTAGAAGTATCAATACATTTCACGAGTATCGTCATCTTTCGATCCGGACTGTGTCAGAACGAGTGACTGCCATTTGGCTGGAACATTACCCTGCCAAATCAGACATATAGGGTAATTCCGGGAGAGATGGCGCACCGGATGAGATGGCGCAGCGCTATATTTGGCAACATGTTTAACATCAAGACACGACATGTTAGTTATGTTATAAACACTCCTAGAAATAAGTAATGTACGGCGGAAAAAGTGGTTTCTCACGATAATTGGAGTGGCGGAAGCAAGAAAACTAATCGTGAATTTGCAAAATTTTGCATCACGGTACGATCAACAAGAGACTGGTAAGTTATTCCATGATTAAATTCATTTTTAGTGACATAATATTGCTACAGCCGCTTGTAGGAGTGATTCTAACCTAGCACGAAGATTTTTAGTCGTTGCCAGTTTTAGTAATTAAGTGAGCCATCTCACCCGGCATTTTTGGGTGAGACGGTGCACTAAACTGCGGGTGAGTTGGAGCTTTGAATACCTATATATTTTTTTATTCCAGTACCATGCCGACGAAATACAATAGGCGTAGTACGTCTTTACGTGGACAATGGACCAAGGAACAGTTACTGCTAGCCATTGCTGCTGTGAATAATAACTCCATGGGTGTAAATGAAGCTGCAAGACATTTTAATGTTCCAGCAACCACTTTAAGAAGACGAAAGAAATCTGGTAATCTGGTAGTGGGACCTCAGGGGCCGTCAGCATGTCTAGGCATACAAAATGAAAATAAGATTGTGACACACATAAAAAAGCTACAAGCACATGGGTTTGCTCCTACTCGAGAAGACGTCCGTGTTATGGCCTTTAAGTTGGCTGAACAGTTGCAAATAAAGCACCGCTTCAATCATGAATCTGGAAAAGCAGGGTATGACTGGTTACATTCATTCTTATCGCGTCATCCGGGTTTGTCAGTTCGAAAGTCCGAAGGAGTGTCTCTTGCGCGCGCTCAAGGAATGAGACGCAAAGAGGTTGCTGACTACTTTAAGCTTTTGGAAAGAGTCCTTGCAGAAAATCAACTCTTTGAAAAGCATAGCCACATCTTCAACGTGGACGAGACTGGAATGCAATTGAATAACAAACCCGGATTCGTTGTTGCTGCCAAAGGTTCTAAGAATGTAGCTAGCATCACCGCTGCGGAAAAGGGAGAGACCATTACTGTTATTTCATGTTTTAGTGCGGAAGGTGTATATATTCCCCCTACCTGCATTATGAAGGGCAAAAATAAGAAAGCTGAGTATGAAGACGGTCTGCCACCGGGGTCAAAAGTCTACATGAATGAAAAATCCGCCTACATCAATAGTGCTCTCTTTTACCTTTGGCTAAAAGAACAATTCCTACCAAGGAAACCAGTTGGGACGGTTATTCTTTTGCTGGATGGACATGGATCACATTGTAACAACATTGAAATGCTCGAGTTTGCCAGCAGTAACAATATCATCCTTGTATGCCTACCCAGTCATACGACACAATTTCTGCAACCGTTGGATAGGGGGTTTTTTAAGTCATTAAAAATGAACTATTACAGAGCGTGCAATCTTTATATAAAAAATAACCCTACAAGAAGGTTGACACGGCTTCAGTTTGGAGAACTTCTTGCGTCGGCGTGGGTCAAGTCTGCCACAGTAAGTAATGCTGTGGCAGCCTTTAAGGCAACAGGTATCGTACCATTTAATCCTGAAGCAATTCCGGATGAAGCATTTTTGTCGGAGACCACAGATGTTCAGGATAATGTTAATAATTGCAATAATAACGAACAAGAGATAACAACTCAAGCAAGTATTCTGGATCACCCTCAACCAGGATGTTCAAAGGACAGTCTTCCCCCACCAGAAAGCCCTCCTAAAAATAACCTGACGCCTGGCAAAATGTTAAATAATATTTCTCCCATACCGTGTACTAGTACACCTGTTCAGCAAGTTAGAAAACGCAGCAAACAAGTGGCGTCAATACTCAACTCCGCTGAAAGTATTACAAACAAAAAATCTAAGCAGGAAAAACAATTGTAACAAGGAAAGTGGAAAATAAAAATGAGAAAACACAAAGGGTAGTAGGCGCCGTCGAAAATTAAATTTGGTTGAAAACACTTCTTCAGAATCAGAAGCGGATGTGTCTTTACATGATTCTTCTTCAGAAGGCTCAGAAGATGAGTGCTGTAGAGGTTGTAATGAGGCATATGCCACAACAAAAAAGCCTGATGATTGGCTAAAATGTATCCGATGTTTGTCTTGGTACCACGAAACATGTTCACGTTATAGTGAGTTATGCAACGGGTGTGCAAAAGCAGTTTTGAATAACGAATTCAATGCCAAGAAGTAAATATTTTATCTTACTATGTGTACGCCATCTCACCCGAAATAGCTGCGCCATCTCAACCGCATCTTCCGGGTTAGATGGATTTTTGTATAATGTCCTTAGAGCTAGCTTTTTATGTTTCTGTATACTTCCTAATTTGAATAATGTGTTTGATATTTGTTGCTTGATAACCAAAGAATAAAAGTTTAAGTTTTGAGTATGATTTGGTCTTTCTTTCGATTTATACAGCTGTTAAAGAAAAAGGTGCGCCATCACTCCCCGAATTACCCTATTTCATCATTTTCAAAGAAATTGTACAAAATCTTCAAATTTGTATAGTTAGCGAGTTTCACTTCATACGTTGTTACCAGACATGCCCAGATCATCAGTTGCTGCCGTGATATTCATCCCGACCACTGCATCCCCACGGCTAGGCGACCTGTATGTTAAATTTGTATTGATAGGGCAGCGGGTTATGCTATAAATCATATGTCACAGTTTTCGTGCACTGATTGCAACGGTTAGATGATACCAAAAATATTTTCATAAATAGGAGATCTTTCCCATTCCGGATCAAACAATCCAACAAAGATGCTTATAATCATGATACCTAGTAAATTGTCACGAAAAAAATTCAAAACCAGCAAATGTAAAAGATTCATTTTGCACCCTCCACCATGGGACGTGATCGTCGTTGGACTTGGCAACCCTGCGAGTGACAGATAGATATTCTCGCCAGTCAAAAGACAAACAATAAACATTACTAGTTTTTTTGATTTTTGGAGTTATTAGACATTATTTGTGAAACATTTTTCATCATTTTTTGTCTATGTCCATAGTAATTGCATTATGCATCAGGGAGATGTAGGGATTGACACGTCTTACACATATTATTTCTGTGTTTTAGGATGGAGAGGACATACTGTTTTTATTGCTTTGAAAAAATTCATTAACCCATAAATTAATAAATGATTACTATTATGACGTAAAGGAAGATGAGGAATTAGATGGATTGTATTTTATATTCTATTTTCTTGCAAAGTACAGACAAATCCACACTATTCAAGAGGTATGTAATGATAACTTTCAGTATCTTGAAGTTCAAATCTGCTGCCAAATTTAACAGCTAGAAAATCGACCTATTATTTGCCGCATTCCCATTCGCTGAGGGGGATAACGGATTCTTAAATGTAAACCTATAACATATATCAGAATACATGAAAGTTGTCCTGTTTTTGCTGTACAAAAGCATCATGTTGGAATCAAAAAGTGGTCTTGTTTATAATACAGTCGAATTTCAAGATTTTATTCAATATTTCAATAGAAATCACTAATATTCAGAGACCTTTGACAGCTTCTGTCAAAATGCATTTCGATAAGGTATTTTCCGATTGGTACATAATATTAATGTTGGTGAAATCGGCCCTTAAATTATTATTTACATCCGTACCTACTCTATCAAAGCGAAATCAATCTTACCTTAAACTGGTACACCCTGTATAAGAAAAATAAAAAAATTCTCACCTCTGATTGCGTCTCATGCCGAACCGTTATCGAATATTTCTATTATTGGAAATTCTGCCATTTCTGCCCGACCAATCTGCTTAAAATGTAGAACAGCAACGCCGGCAAAAAGAATCGCGAATTCCCGATCCCATTATACAAATAGGAATGCAAACTCCCAAAAGCAATTTCGAGGCGCGTCGAGTCGGTAGCAGCCTGCTCAATACCACCGGATCATTTTCCGTTTCATCTGCACGTTATAATAACGATCACCGATGAGGTGTACCGTTACGTTACTTCCAAGCATTATATCTCCAACTGGCACATGAGCTTAGCTTAGAAATGTTTTTTTCCTTTACCATTTTCCTGGTAAAATTAAAGTAACAAAGCTATAGCCCTTTGGAAGTTTGAGTACCGCCCTGTCTCAATAACAATATTATGTGGTCGTGTTTGGCGACAACGGATATAATCCGCCGTATCGGTTCATCGCATCGGAAACAAAAAAGCGAAAGAATTTGGAACGATGTTTTTACAAGTATCTCATTCATTTGTATACAGTCAGTGACAGTGAATGGTGGTATCTGTTGCGTGGCTCAAACGAAATAAAAAATGGCACATGTTTATGCGGATCGGTTTCCCAATCGAGTGCAACCAACCCCTCGTGCCTTTGTTAATGTAGTACAACGGGCTCGTGAATCAGGTGACTTAAGACCTCAGAGGGGACCTCACGATCAAATACAGGTCCGCACTGAAATACTTGTCGGGAGGATACTTTATAAAACAAGGTAAAAAAATTTTTTAATTTTTTTTTATTTTTACACACATATTTTGGTTTATCTTCCTTCTACAATCATTATCTGAAAATTAATGACTCAACTTCAAAGTCACCCTGTATATACAGGGTGGCGCATCGAAAACGAAACTGATGCATTTACTGGCAGCTCAGTTTTTTTTTTGAAAAACGCTCAGACCCGTCGATTTTGTTTTCGAGGGCAAAAAAACACGTTAGCACGTGCAGGCCCCTAAGCGGGGGTGACATCACCCCCAAAATCGTAAATGGAAAGGGGGGTCGAGATTCCCTTTATAATGATATAAAATTAATGTACTTCAGTTCAGTAGTTTTGAAGATTTATTGATTTAAATCTTAAATAAAACTAATACATCATCATTAGTGGAGATCAATACATTTGGCAGCAAAGTAATTTAAAAATGAAGAATGAACTGACCCGTTAGGCAAGTAAATGTTGAAAATGTCCACCATGACTCTCCATGCAATAATAAAGATTTTGCTCAAAACGTTGCCGCACATTTTGCAATATTTGAGGAGTAATTTGAAGACACTCATTCACAATTCTTTGTCGCAGGTCTTCTAACGATGTTGGCTGAGTAGCATAGGTTTTGGTTTTTAAATGACCTCACATAAAGTAATTCAAAGGTGATAAATCTGGCGATCTTGGGGGCCATTCAATGGCAGCTCTTCTATTAATCCATCGATCTGGAAACTTCTGATCGAGATATTGTCGAACACGTAATGTGTAATGTGGTGGGGCACCATCCTATTCGCAATGTACCGCCGATCATTCTGATTTTCAGTTATGGCTGTTAATGCAGGATAGATGGCGTCTTCCAGTATTTCCAAATATATTTCACCGGTCAAATTTCCAGGTAAGAAAAAAGGACCAACTAAATGATCGCCAAAAATACCAGCCCAAACATTTAATTTTTGTGGCTGCTGTGTATGAACCTCATGATAAATTCTGGGATTAGAATCGGACCAATATCGGCAGTTATGACGATTTACTACGCCATTTAACAAAAAGGAACATTCGTCGGAGCAAGTGTTGAATAGAAAATATTCATCGTTTATAATTCGTTCACTCATATCTTCACAAAATTGTAATCGCCGATCAAAATCGTCTTCATTAAGTTCTTGTACCAGGTGAATTCAATCGCAAACTATGTACTAAATTCCTATTTAAAATAAGTACGAGAGATTTCCTTATATTTCTTCAAGAAATAACTTTTTTGCCACAAAAAAACGCTCCAATAGCTATTTTCAACAACAAAATGATAAACAAACCATGGGCGTAGTGAAGAAAAGCATTTACTTATTAAGTAAATTCTTTTAGTCAAATTTATTCTGAAAGTAGTACAAACTAATCTGATGTACCTATTAAAGTCTACTTTAAGCTTTAAATCAATAAATCTTCAAAACTACTGAACTGAAGCTCATGTATTTTACATCATTATAAACGGAATTGAAATACCTTCAAAATAAGGTATCACTCGACCCCCTTTCTATTTAAGATTTTAAGGTTGGTGTCACCCCCGCCCAGGGGGCTGCACGTGTTAACGTGATTTTTTGCCAAACTTGTGTCTCCGTCGAAGACAAAATCGACGGGTCTGAGCATTTTTCAAAAAAAAAAACTGAGCTGCCAGTAAATGCGTCTGTTTCGTTTTCGATCCGCCACCCTGTATATATCCTATTTCTTTGGGTAGAAGGCAAAGTATTGCAAAGGTACACCCTTATAACTTAAACTCAAGCTTTCGAAGATCTATGTCTTCATCTTCTGGAGCTGGAAACAATTATTGACAATAGCAACAATAAACAATTAGGAGGAAAAATAGTTACTTACTAAGTCGGCGAGAGATTGTTGCTGAAATAATTCCGTCCTAATCGAACCTCATCAGTCCAGTTTTTTATTCGTCGACTATGTGTTCCCTTCACTGTTGTTTAAAACAAATTTCAGCAACAATCTCGCCGATATAATACATATTTTTTTAACTAGCATAATTAACAACTTCTTGTATACATTTGCTTGTAAATACAATGCAATCCACGGTTAACAGAGGAGGTAAGCGTCACTGATAGAATTCTATAACCAACCGTCGTTTTAGCTTCGTTTGTTATGGGTTAGTGTCAGATGGCGATGTCAACAATGGTACCAAAAATCTGTAGTGCAGCTAGTGATGTTGATTCCACACCTGTTTGAGAATCAGTGCTTTTTCGTACGATCCGGATACGTTCCTGCATAGAGCGAATTCCCGAAGGCATCGCTTTGCCGAGTATCTGCGGCACCTCGCTGCCTGATCGTACGATATGCCACGACGCCTCCCCAATCTTGCACTTCTGATGTGCATGTACCCGGATCCCCGGATGATATTAAAATGTGCGGTTACGTTCCGTTGCCATCACCGACTGTATGCGACCCATATATACCGACGACGGTATGGATATGCGGCTATACGCCGGCTTTGACTTAAATTAGTTTCTAGCGGTTAAGCACTTGACTCGCTCATCATAGCTTAGCGTTGTTGGTTCGTCTGGGAGCGATTTTGGTAACGCATACGTTTTGCCGGGCTGTGACGTTGTTTGAAGGAAAGGTGCACGACACTATACAATCACACTGACACATCGACTGAATACAACTGAATAAAATTGTACATTGTAGTAGTAGTAGTAAAAACATCGTTTCAAATTCTTTCGCTTTTTTGTTTCCGATGCGATGAACGGATA